TTTTCCTGCAGCATCAGTTTTATTAAAATAATCTGAAGTTTAAAAGCACACCCACTTTCTTTTTTTTTATTTTAATTTTTTAATGTTTAGTTATTTTTGAGACAGAGAAAGACAGAGCATGAACGAGAGACGGTCAGAGAGAGAGGGAGACACAGAATCTGAAGCAGGCTCCTCTCTGAGCTGTCAGCACAGAGCCCGACGCGGGGCTCAAACCCATGGACTGTGAGATCATGACCTGAGCCGAAGTCGGCTGCTTAACCGACTGAGCCACCCAGGCGCCCCCACACCCACTTTCTTAAAATACGGATGTATTATGTAGAATGCCCTGGCATGCGAATCAGGAAGTTATGGCAGGAAACGAAATTCCACAGCTGGGCCTGTAGGTGGCTTTGGCTCTCTTCCCCGAAGACCCTGGGGCTGGAGTTCACGATCCTTAGCTCTCAGGTGCTAGGGCAGGTGGAGAAAACAATATTTTAAGTGTTCAAGAAACGTGTTAAGTGTTAGGTACAGCGACTAGGGAGAGATTGTGGTGCAGGGAACTAGGAGTTTGTGCTCTCCTCTGCTCCCTGCACCTCTCATCAGTCCTCAAAGACCCTCCACACGGTGCCCCTTCGCCACCACGCAACGCCAACCCCCGGCACCTCGTTGCCAGGACAACCCTTTTCCGCCCGGCGCCTCCGCAGTCTTCCTGCTAAAGGCTGAGAGGACGCTGCGTGCGTCTGACGTCACTGCGCTGCGCGGCCAGATCTGGGGACCGCGCGAAGCCTCGTTTTCCCGAACCCCGGCGGTCGGTGACGCGAGTGGGTAGTTGGCCGAACGGGCTCAGGGCGAAAGTGCCAGCCGGAGTGGCGTCCGGCGTGCGCATCGCCGCGGGAGAGAGGCGCGGTAGGATCGGGTACCGGATGCCGTGGGCCAGGGGTGCGGGGATGCCGCCTTGCCGCCCGCGCCGTCTCCGCCCTGCAGGCTTCCGGGCTGGCCTGTCTCTAGGGCCGCCGGACTCGTTGCTAAGGACCTTGAAGCTGCCGAGCGCCGAGAGCGCACCCTTCCTTTCCCGGGGCCAGGCTTTGGCGGAAAGTAGCCCGCCCTTCCTCCTCCCCGCTCCCCGGCTCCTTAAAACAAAACAAAAAAGCCCAAAAAAAAACAAACAAAAAAACAACAACAAAAAAACCCCAAAACACTCAACTCTGTTTTTCTGGATTTTTTTCCTACACGTCCTCCTGATTTTCCAACTTTGACACCACTCTGTCCCTGAACGGGTCTTAAGTGTTTGGAAGAGTGTGGTGTTAGAGAGGAAGAGGGTAGGAAAAATGGAAGCAAATTTAAGACCCTTAATATTGGCCCTGTGGATTTATGGTAAAAAAGGGATTGAGATAGGTGGATATTGGGTTCTGTGGCTGCACTCTGGAATTTGAAGGAGCTTTAGAGATGGGTCACGGCTTCTTCAGTGGGATGCCTGTCACTTCTGGAACTTTCTGAACAACGGATGAGAGAGTAGGCAAAAAAGTGGCCTCTGCCCCTTGAGAATTTAGCAAGTCTTTTAGTGCGGTGGTCTCAAAGCGTGGTCCCGGAAGAAAGTGCATATAGGGAAAGAAATAGGATGTGAGCTGTCCAAAACAATGAAAACCAAAGTATGCTTTTCCTAGCGCTGACACGGAATGTCTATGGCCCCTTTCGGATGATCCGCGGCACCTAAGGAGACGAAAGGGAAAAGGAGGGTTCTGCTGTTGGGGCCCTGCTTGATTTGCTTGCTCTCTGGTATTATGACATAGTTTAGATGTTTGGGTCAAGTGGATTCTAGTGCCTGTTTAGAATCTTTATATTGTTTTGTAAAAGAATGAGAGGTGACTGCGATAATATTTGTAGCACAAAACAGTCCTTACCTTTTCACTTCCTTCCACCATTATTACCTCTTTACACCACCTTCCTCATGTTATTTAATGAAAAAATACTTAAAAGAGTTGTTGAGTGTAAGATGAATTAAGTCTTTTTTCTTTTACAAACAACTCATGTTCCGGTTTTGTTGTCAGTGGTATGCTCCCAGATGGGTATCATTTTAAAAAATTGAGCAGACTTAATCTGTAAGGTAAAGGTGGATTCTTTTAATAATAGGTGAAAAATAATTGTTTTGGAAAGCAAGCCTCTAGGGTGTTTTGAAAGTGAACGCAGAAATGTTTGCATCGTGTATGTGAGTTTTGAAATGACTGCTGTAATTTACCTAAGTATATTATACATAAAAACTGCCCTGTATGTGTAAAACCTTTGGAGGCTCAATTTTCTGGCATGTTTCAAAGTTTTTCAAAATGAAGAGTTTCAGCGGCTCTTTGAATTCATTCAAAATATAACGCAGCACCTTCTTGGAGGTACCTTTCAGGAACATCTTTTTCACATGAAAGAAGATAGAAATTTAGTTGTTCCTACACAAACTTTTGTAGATTTGGTAGGTAGTGTTGAAAACTATGCATCATGGTTTGATGTGTCCAACTCTGCTCTTTTTGTGTTTGTGGGTAGGATCTTTTGATGCCTCATTTTCAGCTGTGACAGCTATTACAATTTATGATCAAAATAAATATTAATTCATTAGTCTTCATCAACATTAAGAGCAGTTACTGTAATTGTCCCCAATTATAGAGTTGAAGAAACAGAGACACAGATTGATTGATTGATTGATACATACATATATGCATACATACATACAGAAACTTAGATCATGCTGTTCCCATCAGGAAATTCTCAAAACTGAGACCTGGCATGATAGCAAATACTTGTTGAATATTCACTGAAGTGCAGTGTTAGGTCGAAATATTTAAAGCCTGGCTTATCTTGACTTAGAATATTATCTGACAAATTTAATGAGCCATTAATTACCATAATTCTGGTAAATGCCTTAAGAATGAAAGTGAAATGTGATATTGGGAAGTAAGTCATCTGCTGGTAGTAAGATGAGGAAATTAGGTGAATGAAAATTGTTCTGTTTATGAAACGATCTTACATTTAATTTATCTTTGCAAGGCACTTGGATGTGGTCACATCATGTTTGAACTATCTTGGGGCTGAGTTAACGGAGTTTTGTCCTCCTTGTGAAGAATTCTAATTTGGCAAGTGGATTAAAATCATCTCATGAGGAATTACTTGCCAAAGCATCAATGTTTATCCTGAAGAAGAGAAAACGAAGGAGTCTGTGTCTCCAATATTTGAAAAACTCATTTGGAAGTGGAAGAAGACTTCATCTATGTTGCCTTAAAGGAAGATCTTACAGTGTAGTTGAGGAGTAGTTATATGCGTGTGTGTGTGTGTATGTGTATGTATATATGTGTATGTGTATATGTATATATGTGTATATATGTATATACACACATATTTTATTTTTTATTATTATTATGTTTTAACTTTTATTTATTTTTGAGACAGAGAGAGACAGAGCATGAACGGGGGAGGGTAAGAGAGAGGGAGACACAGAATCTGAAACAGGCTCCAGGCTCCGAGCTGTCAGCACAGAGCCTGATGCGGGGCTCGAACTCACGGACCACAAAATCATGACCTGAGCCGAAGTCAGCCACCTAACCGACTGAGCCACCCAGGCACCCCTATACACACATATTTTAAACTTTATTTTGAGAGAGAGCATGCACACGTGTGGGGGGAGGGGCAGAGAGAGAAGGAGAGAGAGAATCCCAAGCAGGCTCTGAGAGGAGTCTGCTGTGGTGCTCAAACCCAGGAACTCTGAGATTATGACCTGAGCCGAAATCAGGAGTCCAACACTTAATTGACTGAGCCACCCAGGCACCCCAGGGTAGTTATCTATTTAATAGAAATTCTAAAGGCTTAGAGTGGGAAATGCTCTAGTGGAAGAATGACTAGAGTGCTATGCAGTGAGGGAGTGGAGTAATCAAGTAGAAATAAGAAGGAGATAGTGCGGAAGTCAAGAGTGCCATGGACATACACATTTGAGAAACAGGAGATCAGGAAAGGCCGCATGGAATTTGGGACTGGAGCCAGACCTAGAAATACCAGCAGGCAGTTGGGTATATGAATCCAGGTGCGTGTGGTGGAGGATTGCTTGGTAGACATAGGAGTTTAGAAATAATCTGATTAGGCAGAAAATCATCACTGGGAACTAGAGTCCTCCCATTAGCGGAAAAGAGGAAAGCGTGGAAGAGGGAGAAGTGAACCATCGCTGGCTGGTTGAGCAACTTGATATAATGCCTTCTTTACTCCTCAGTAACAGCCTGTATAGGCTTGTATTATCCTCCACTTTTAAAATGTCTGGAAATCCAGGCTTGGGGAGATTAAATGATCTACCTAATTCATAAACCTGGTAATTGGTAGAGATGAGGGTGTAGACCCAGATCTGAGCCTAAAGCGGCTTCCACCTCATCACACCACATTGATTACATCTGTAAGAAGTGAAGGAAAAGAAGATAACAGTGCTCTTCAGTCTTTTAGCCTGAGGGACCAGAAAGTTGGTGGTACCTTGAATTAACAAGAGGTCCATAACTTCAGTGTGATAACCGTAGTTTTGGTTATGTTCAGGTTAAGGAGCTTCAGTACCTTGACTGGGAGAGGTCATTATGTCTTGAAAAGTCGGACTTGATATGCAGGTGTTAGCATTTGGGCCTTTGGAAATACAGAGACCAGAGAAGATAGAGACGCCAGGGGATGTGCCAACCTGTTACTCCTTTCAGAAATCCAGTCCATGTTTTCTGACTATAGCCAGAGGTCTGCAGTTGAGTTTCTAAAAGCTTATTTTGACAGTTTGAATGGGAAAAAATGTTTATTTTATTTATCTTATTTTTTACAGATTGTTTTTCATTTACTGTTATTGATACTGAAGTTGACATAATTTTGTATTTTTTCATTGGTCTTTGGGGTATTTTGCTCCATGCCATATCTTTTTTGTGTGTCTTTTACTATATTATTTACTCTGTTCTGTTTTGGTCTTTATGTTGTTAATGCATCTCTTACTCCCCAAATTCTGAAATCAAGTTGCATTTAACTGCAGGCGTGAAAGGGAAGCAATGCAGAAATCAGAGTGCCACGGAGGCGTTCAGCTGAGGAACAGAGGGGCAGGTACAGAACATTGCTTTTTAAATGAAGAGATGAATTGGGTTAGTGACACATTCTGTTACACAGATGGATAAGAGTGAACTTTATCTCTTCCACCTCTTTTGTTGTTGTTGATCTTCCGTTTTTTCCAGATAACTGTGATCAAAGGACATCATCGAGCATACAAATAAAACATAGGACTACAGTTCAACAAGGCAAATCCTCATCATCAACCAGTTCTCCAGAGTCCGCAAGAAAATTTCATCCTCGACCAAGTGATAAACTTAACCCTAAGACAATTAACCCGGTAGGCACAAAAGACAGTCAGGACTGCCTTGTAGGCATTGTTTTTTGTTTTGTTACATTTAGGTTAGTGATGAAGGGCATATGGTAATCATGATGAAGAATGGAAATAATGATGATGTAAGTGTGGAAATGAGAAGGTGTCAAAGGGGGAATAACCAGTTGTGGCGTATCCTGTCACATTCATGGAGCAGTACTGTAGAGTGTAAGATGAATTTCATATCAGCTTTATTTTTTATTTTCTTTAGTTCTGCTACTTCCTAACGTCAGTGAGTAAACTTGTATTCAATTGACGTGGGAGGAACCACATGCTTCCGTAGTTGCATAAACGTCCCTATTTTGCTTTGATTTATAAATTAGCTCCCCAGGAAATGCCTCTATAGTACCAGCCTCCCTTTGCCTTCTGACAGCAATTTAACCACATTTCACAAATAGGAGATTTACGCGCATGAAAGTGGATAATCGTTAAGTGTGTAGATCACTGAATTATCCAGAAAGTGAGCACACGTGTGCTACAACACCAGGCAGTGTGTGGCCCAACCTTGCGTAGGGTAAGATGATCCTGGTTTCAGCCTTTAAAGGGGATTATGAGAATGGCGGAGACACTGATTTTGATGGCGGGTAAAACATAGAAAGGGTACGATGAACTGGCCAAGGGCAGGAGATTTTCTGACTTTCCAAGTGAAAAATTGTGTAAGCATATGTGTTGCTTTGCTTCTTTCTGTAAACTGCACAGTGTCAGAGGAGTGGGACTCCCGGAGAATGCCCTCCTCTCTCCTTGCCCTTGCTTCTTTTTCCCACGTTTAATTGAGAGATTCATGGTGACACTTCTGTTGTCTTCCTCTCTTTGGGGAAAGAACTTTGTGAAGTAGTAATATTTAGTGGCCCTAACCTTAAATTTTATTACTAATTAAGGAGAGTTTGGGGAAATAATGACTTGACCTGAGAATAGAGGATATTAGACAAGACCATGTCGAAGGTCTGTAAAAGCTACCAAACCAGAGTAAGTCAGTCAGAAGTCAGGACAGAAGTCACCATTAGGGAAAAAAGGTGGTTAGTGACTGGGAAGAGGCACGGCAGAGGTTCCTAGGGTGCTGGTCACATTCAGGTTTTCCACACCTGCATGTTGTTACCCCACTGTTTTGGAGAATTCACCGGTCTACGTACCTATAATTTATACACTTTAATGTGCGTAAATTTTGAGCACTTCACTTGGATCCAAAATTACATGTGATGAAACTCAGTATAGTGAAGTATATTTAATGTTGATAATTTTACAGTTGAAATCTTAGTGTGTGATGATATTGTTAAAAACTGAAGGGACTATAGTTTTTTTCATGGTAATGGAATTTTGGTAAAATTTGGTAAAGATTGATAAAATGAACCCACTGGTAGAAAAAAAATTGATAATGGAGACTTGGAAGATAAAGCTATGATTATCTCTAAAATGAGTTAAAAATTAAAGGAAAAGAATGGAATGGCTTAGAATTTCAATCAGAAATTTTGTCTTGGTGGTTGTTTTGGATATTTAGGGATTATTTACATGATCTGTAGGTCCAAAAAGTAAAATCAGTTCCTAATAGGTGGCAGAACTAAAAAAGTGTTTGTAGTCCTAATTTGTCTTAATTTTTCCCCCCACTTCAACACTTTTTCAAGTTTCCTTATCTGATATCAATTACTTGAAAACAGTTTTTAAAATAAATTTTTCTTAGTAGGAATTGTAATTAAATGAATGAAACATTACTATTTCTGTGAATTATTATGCAGAATGTGGGTTGAACTTTGTAAATGAATCTCCTATTATAGTATTATGTGTCAGTGACATTTCCTCTGTGTGTTTTAACTTCAAACATGTGTTTTTCCAGAGGAAAAAAGGTTAATTCTAAACTTATACCCTTAAATGTATTTTTAAATTACTGCAAGTGATTGAAAAATATTTTTATCTAGTTGTATCTTTAAAACAGATTAGTCCGTTTATATTTTATAATTTAGACAACTGTATTTTATTTGATTATGTTCAAAGTACTGTGTGATAAAATATTAACTTTTTGTGCCTAAATTCTCTAAGGATCAACTGTATTGAAATCATGTATGCTGTGATTATTTAAACATTGTGATTGATCATCTCTTAAATGATCTTTGGGAATAGATACAGAGTTAATTGATTCTTTTGTTTTTTAACTTTTTTTTTTTTGATGTTTATTTATTTTTGAGAGAGAGAGTGTGAGCAGGGGAGGGGCAGAGAGAGAGGGAGACAGAGGATCCTAAGCGGGCTCCGTGCTGAGAGCGGAGAGCCCCATGTGGGGCTTGAACTCACAAACCATGAGATCCTGACATGAGCCAAAGTCGGACACTTAACTAATGGAGCCACCCAGTCACCCCCAGAATTAATTTATTCTTAATATGTGGACAAACAAAGTTGTGAAGTTATATATCTAAGCAAACACATCTGAGCACATGTTTGTGAGAGCCTTGCTCCACCTTCAGCTCTGTCACTCCTGCCTATCGTAAGCCTTTGCTTTTTGTAGAAGCGTGAAACCATTTGGGAGAAATTACAGGTTCTGGACCATCCAGACCATCCATATTTGACTGGAGGACAAGCAGGAGATGTGCTGGCCACTGAAGACAATTCTGCTTTCCCTGTACCTAACACTTCTTCCCCATGTAGCCCTCACCTTGAGAGGTCACAGTGGGGGGGGGGGTAGAAAGATGTATTATCTTTGTTATATTTATTTATGGTGTTCTTATAATAGTATTTGTCTATATTATATATGTGATCCCAGCTCCTTCACGCCCTCTGAAACAAGTTAGGGGTTAAAAAGAAATACACAGTTTGTGGCTGTGGCTGTGGGTCCAGTACTGAGGGGACTGATCGTTTTCCTCAGGTGTGTTGCTGAGTCGAGTGATGCACTTGATACCAGCATCGTGGGTGAAAAGTCAGATGTCCCTTTGCCTCTGACCTCAGCAGGATTAAAATTGGGCAGGTATCACAGAGTGGAGGTGATGGTATACTTACTGCATTCGTGTCGTCTTTTTCTTTCAGTTTGGTGAACAGTCCCGAGCCCCTTCTGCATTTGCGGCTATTTACTCTAAAGGAGGTATTCCTTGCAGGTAAATCAGTACGGATGATAACTGACCAGATTATTCAAAATAACTGAGTCAAATCAATAACAGTTTTTAGTTTAAATGTATTGAAAATTTTATATACTAGGAGGTTGCAATAAAGGTGACTTATTTACACTTTGGCTGTTGGACTGGGGTAGATCGTGAGACATTGTTGAAGAAAATCATTTCAGTTCAAAATAGAATTACAAATAGATCTGTAATTTAAGAAATGGAATTAACCAGTTTCTGAAACAATATAAGCATTCATAGCCTCGGGCAAGTTGCAAGTAAATAGTCTGAAACTGAAAGTTTACAATTGAATGGAATTGTTTCATTAGTTTGTTGTTGTTGTTGTTGTTGTTGTTGTTGTTGTTGTTTTGGGTTTTTTTTAATGGAGATTATTTTTTCTTATTTTATTTTTTATTTTTTAAAATTTACGTCCAAATTAGTTACCATATAGTGCAACAATAATTTCAGGAGTAGATTCCTTAATGCCCCTTACCCCTTTAGCCCGTCCCCTCTCCCACAATCCCTCCAGCAACCCTCAGTTTGTTCTCCATATTTATAAGTCTCTTCTGTTTTGTACCCCTCCAGGTTTTTATATTATTTTTGTTTCCCTTCCCTTATGCTCGTCTGTTTTGTCTCTTAAAGTCCTTATATGACTGAAGTCATATGATTTTTGTCTTTCTCTGACTAATTTCACTTAGCATAATACCCTGTTTCATTAGTTTTTGAAATGACATTTGAAAAATTTCAAAAAGTTGTATTTATTGACATTATATTTATTAATGAGTATATACGGTAGTTCTTCCTCACTTTTGATACAGTTTTTGCCACCTTTTGTGATAGCCATCAGAAGTGTTTTAAAGAAAACGATATAGTTACTGATAGAATGATACCATTTTAAGATTTCACTACCAAGAAACATTTCTTTCTTCTAAGTGTATCCAGTTTTAGCTGTTCTAGGTGATGGGAAATGTCATTTTCATTGTGGAAAGAATAACCACGACATTCTTTTTGTTGTTTTCTAAAATTCAAGAAATGTAGTTTTTAATGGTATTTGCAGATTTGGAGAAATGAGCTCAAGAGGCATTCCTCACTTTATTGTTATTATTTTTTTATTTTATTCTGAGTCAAAACCATATTTACATATTCTTACACCCCCCCCTCTCCACTCTAAGCAATCATGGTTGCTAAAATTGTAAAAATGTTACCAAGGCCTCTTGCTATTAAGAAAATAACACTAAAAAAGGTGTCAAGAAGTTGAGAACATTACAAAAGGGTGAGGAAACATTTGAGCGTCTTGAGTAAGTTCACTGTCATGGTTATGATGAGGGTTCTCTTGATGCATTTATATATCAAAACCTGTATCAAATGTTACACTTCATAACCATGTACAGTTTGTTGCATGTTGGTTATGACTCAGTAAAGCTGTTAATAAAAAAAAAAATTAAAAAAGCAACAGCAGCAGCAGTGACCCATGCAAGGGGCTACCATTTTGTAACCCTGCATGGGCTGTTTCACCTCCTGGCCTCTGTTTTCTTTTGTGTAACAGAGGGGAAATCTGGCTTGTACTTAGATCATGAGGGTTAAAGAATCTGTATCTGAAAAATAATGTTCCATATAAAACACGTTACTATTTCTAATTATCACATTTCTTTGTTTGCACATTGGTAGGTTACCTATTTTGTTATAATTATGACTTAAACATGTCAAGTGTAGCATTTGTGTTAAGACTCACAGATGGCAGCATGCTTGAACTCCCAACAGTGTAGGCTGAACACATGTGGAGTTTAGTTTTGCTGCGAAACAGTTTTGCTGAAAGGATAGGAGTGTGGGGTTACAGACTTTGCTGTGTGAGATGCCTTCGTAATAACGTTGCAAGCCATGATATTCCTACATGTTACAGAATAGTTCTAATATGATTATGTTCTGGAAAGAGTCTGAATGTGTTAGAGAATTAGTGTTTAATATATAATTACATTGTCCGTGTTGCGTTTACCAGTGTTTGTTATTTTAGATTGGTCCATGGTTCAGTGAAACACAGATTGCAGTGGGAATGTCCTCCTGAAAATCTTCCATTTGATCCTCTTCTTATTACTTTAGCAGAGGTATGTGTGATTTCCATTTCTCCTGAGTGTTTATGGAAAAAAAACACCTTAAAAACTGTATTAAATGTTACTTCACAACGCATCAGTAAATCTTATTTTATGCTTTTGGAATAAGAGCCAAGCGAAAGTCATTAAAACACCAATGCTCCCTTAGGAACTAATTATGATCAGTATATGTTTATTAGAAACTGATTAATCAGCTTTATAAACAACTTAGTCTACACAGGGATTTGTAGATAAGTAGATGAAATATTCACACTTAATTCCAAAAAAGTACTTGGGATCATATTGAATGAGTCATATCAGGAGAACATCAGTGGTTTAACGTAAACTACATCAGATAGCAATGAGTGGTTGATCTATTTCTGTACAACCAGTCATGTTTAACGTGAATGTGATATGTTTTTCAGGGAACTGATGCTAACTACCTAAACGTCCTTTTGGAAAATTCTCTGGGCTTTTGCCCACCTGTACATTTTAAGTTGAATGTCAGGGAGGTCGTTTTGTAGAGGATTTTAAGAAAATTTTTGATAGATTCCTTGTATTTTTTAACATGTCAGGAAAAAGTTGGCAGAGTATTAGCTTTAAGTGGATCAGTGATCTCTTCTGTGAAATTTATTCCCTTAGAGTCACAAGTTGAGAAATGAACTAGCCAGTTGTCTTATGTTTAAGTTACAGATACTTGTCTTTTTTAAGAGTTACGATCATTTTTGTTGGTCTTTGTTTTTCTTAATTTATATCTCCGCTTACAAGATGATTTTGGTTTAATAACAGCATATTTTTATGGGTAGCCTATTTTGAAATTCAGTTTTGATCAAAGTCTTTTAAACTTGGTATTAAAAACTTAAAAATGTATCAATGTTTCATTAGTTTAAAAAAATTTTTTAAACCTTTGGTATATGGTAGCAGACCAATTTTTAGATGAATCACAACTATAGTGACACCTTTGAAAACATGGTCCAATTAGGAGTGCCTGCCTGGGTGGCTCAGTTGATTAAACATCCCACTCTTGATTTCGGCTCAGGTCATGATCGCACAGTACGTGAGATCAGATCAGGCCCTGCATCTGGGTCTGGGCTGACTGTGAGGAGCCTGCTTGGGATTCTCTCTCTCTCTTCTGCCCCTCCCCCATGACCTGGTGCACCTGCCCACTCACTCTCTTTCTCAAAAATAAACATTAAAAAAAAAAAATGCTCTAGCTAATCACAAAGTGAGGAAGGTGAGGGGAGTTCTTTAATTTGGAGAGTCCCTAAAGGGACTCTGTGTTTAGTTGAGATTACATAAAGTCAGTGCTTTAAATAATTATTTTCCAAACACCAATGCCTTTATTTCTGTGTTGGGTACATTATTAGCCTTTCCTTCTACTTATTAAATAATGGAAAAGTACTGACAGAACCACCACTATGGACATCCACTTCTCTTGACCTGATCCCTCATCTCTACAATGACCAGGAGAGGCACAACCTTAGGGTGATAGAAGCTGTGTTCCAAAGTGGTGCTGCTGTGCTTGGCGGTCCAGGAAAAGAAGTGTTTGATGACTGTTTGGAAGCAGATAGTTTGGTCTAAAGAGCAAATTGGTTGAAAATTAGTATTTTTAGGCATGACTTTGCAGCCAGTTTTACTTATTCACAGGTAATAATTAGTCAAACTGAGGGAATATTGCTGTTGCTTTTTTTTGTATTACGTTTTCAAAAAAAGTCAGGTGGCTCTTCTGTCTTGACTCAAAGTGATGGATTAAATCATAAAAGAGTACTATCCAATAGTTTCTGATGCATTTAGGGTGAAAGAAATGATACGGGTCATTTTCATATATATATATTTTTCAATCTTATTTATTTTTGAGAGAGAGACAGAGTGTGAGCAGGGGAGGAGCGAAGAGAGAGGGAGACACAGAATCTGAAGCAGGCTCCAGGCTCTGAGCTGTCAGCACAGAGCCCAACATGGGGCTTGAACTCATGAACCGTGAGATCATGACCTAAGCCAAAGTCGGACGCTCAACTGACTGAGCCACTCAGGCTCCCCTTCATATTTTTATTTCACATTCCAATGTTAAAAATGACATTTAAAATCTTACAGTGGTTTTCTGTAAGATTTTCATAGGAAACGATGTTTTTTAAATATCTTAATATAAAATATTTAAATATGAAGGAAATACAATATTTTAGAAACTCATTAAACAAGTTGTAAAGTCACTGTAAAGGTAGGAGGTCCAATAATTATAAACCATCATTTTAGGCTGATTTTCTGTGCTTTCAGACAGTATTTGGTAGTACACACAAAATGTTTTCAGTATCCTAGTGAGGGTTTCTTTTACGTTTTTTCTTTTTTTTTATTATTTGCCTTTCCTCTCTCTTCCTCTCCCCTTTTATTTTCTTCCTCCCTTTCTTTTTCTTTATTTCCTTTATTTTTCCTTGCTTTTCCGTTTCTTTTTTCTGTTCCTTTAATGTTCAAAATGTTTTCCTTCCTTCCTGTGGGTAGAAATTCTTCCTGTCCTATGTATGTCCTTTGTTCCACAATTTCTGGGTTTAATTGAAATTGTAATTATTGAAATTATAAATCATGATTAGGAAAACCATAATAAAACTTGATTTTCATTTAGACTAGTAAGAATTCAATTTTGTTGTTAGTATAACCAGATGCTTAGTAAATCTTTTTTGTTTGCTTGTTTGTTTTGTTTTGTTTGTTTTTTGTCTTTGGCAGGGTTTGAGAGAGACTAAACATCCATACACCTTCGTGTCAAAGGAGGGATTTAGAGAATTACTTTTGGTCCAGGGAGCTCCTGAAAAAGCTGTGCCTTTGCTTCCAAGACTGGTTCCTGTGCTAAAGGCGGCTCTGGTATCCTCTATTCCTTTGGACTTTCTGTGGTACATTTAGAATATTTTATGTCTTTTTTTCTTCCAAATTGTATGCAAATGAGTCCTTTACCTGTGATTTTGATGTGCATGCAAAATTAGGCCATGGTTATTCAGGGACAAATGATTACTTACTTGAAGACACCTGTAGAGGATATCCGAAAGGTAAAAGGGGACATTTTTAGTAATTAGAGAAAGTAAGAAACTTCACATCAGCCTTGCTGCTTGCTGTGATACAGCTAAGCTAATGTTTCAGTCAAGCCAGAAGTTTATTTTTTTGCTTCTAGATGGTATAACATTAAAGGGTATTTTTTTAGATTCAGGGTTTAGTGGCTTATCTTCTAATTTTGAATGTTCAGTCTTACTTTTTTCTCCACCTGCTTGCCCTTTCTTCTTACTTGTCTTTCCTCTTTCCTTTTCTGCCCCTGTACCCCTGACCGTCTAACCCCCCAGGTACACTTGGATGATGACGTGTTTGCAAGAGGTCTGAATGCTCTCGTGCAGCTAAGTGTCGTCGTTGGTCCTTCTCTGAATGACCATCTGAAACATCTGCTGACAAGTGTAAGTACTGAAAAGGTGACAGAGTGCTTGTGTATGCGTATCATGCGCTGTCTGTATCTTGTTCTGATCAGTGGCTTCCAGTTAGTCGTTAACGGATTCAGAAATCCTAAAAAAAATCTGATTCCTCTTCTTTTTTTTTTTTAATGTTTATTTAGTTTTGAGAGAGAGAGAGAGAGAGAGAGAGACAGAGTGAGAGCGAGAGTCGGGGAGGGGACAAAAATTAACGAACAGTACAATGGTCTTATGCCCGTGTTGATTAGCATGGATTATAAAGACAGCTCATCCACCCTCCTCTGTAATTGTACATTGCCACAGTCATGTTTTTCATCATTTTCTTTGTTTTTCCTTGTAAGCTTTTTAGTGAATCTGTAAACAGTATTCAGGATGAGACGTTTTCCTGTTATGTGTAGCTTAATCCTTAGGACAGATACACACTGGGATACTGGACAGTTAGAAGGACTCGTGAAACTCAAAAAGCTGTTACACGGTTTCAGTTCATTACAGTGAAGGGCTACCAAGTAAAATCCACAAAGCAAGGAGGTGCACAGAGCAGAGCCCAGGAAGGACAAAGTGTGGAGTCTCCAGTTGACCTCTCACACTGGAGTTGTTGGACAGCGCTTGCTTCCTCCAGCCAGAAGTGATATGTGGCAACACAGATGGAGTATTGCCGTCCTAAGAAACTCCCCTCAGCGTGGTGTCCCAGGGTTCATATTAGGGTTCTGTCAAGTAAGCATGACTGGCTGCTTGCATGGTCGACCTTAGTCTCCAGCCTCTTCAGAAGCTGAGCTGAGATCAAGTGGCCCATAGGCCCCATGTAAACAAAGATGCTCTTATCTGGCAGGATCATACCAAGGGCTTAGAGGTTCCCATCCAGGAGCCAGAGACAAAGGCCAATCTTTTCTTTAGGTGGAATTAATCTTTTACTGCACACACTAATAAAAAATTAAAGTCCTTGCTGGAATAACCCACAGCTGGCATTTCTCTGTGTGCATCCTTCTGTAGTTCAGAGTTGAGGCATGTATTTCAATCATAGTTTCACTGTTTTTTTCTTGGACCAGTCCATTTAGAGAGATCCTAGAACTCTCTAGGATGTTTAGTTTAGCTTCTTACTCTGCAGAGAGACCATACACCCCGGGAACATCTAGCAAATCCTATAGAGAGTAGGGATGGTAGTGAATCTATCAGGATTGCTATGCTGAGGTTAGGAATAGCGGGAGATGAATTCCCACCAACACCAGGTGTTTGATGGAGAGAAGACACAGTGGGAATAGACTCTCGAACCTTAATATATGGGAAGCCTTAGGAGAGAAGGAAGAGGATCCTGGCAGGTGTTTGCTTACAACCTTTAGGTCAGCAGGTTGTACCTGACTAGCCACAGGAATTTCACCCTAATATATAAAATGACTTATTTTAGATTGATTACTCCATTCAGACATTCAACATTTTGACAAATCTGTTGCTCTCTGCCCTTCTGTTTTGTGTTCTGTGCCAAGTATTATGCTGGACACTGGAACTATAATGCTGAACTTGTTTTAACAAATATAGTGGTGTCTATTGTATATAAATTTCAATGAGATATTTTCTAAAAGAAGCCTTGGAATCTAAAACAAATTAAGTGGTGTTTGTGTACTTAACTATACAGTAAGGATTCAATGATTTTATTTCTAGTTAGCATACTCCTTAGTGAAGTTTTACTTATGCCTGTGGTGAATATTGCTACTTTTCCAAATCATTCTCCCAATCTTATTTTAAAAGCTTTCCAAGAGACTGAGGGATAAGAAATTCAAAGAGCCCATCACCAGTGCATTACAGAAGCTAGAGCAGCATGGTGGGAGTGTAAGTAAAGCCTTATTCCTTAAGTCATGGGTTTTTGTTTGTTTGCTTCTTTGTTTTTTACTTTTATACTATGAAACTGACTGTATGATATCTATTATTTCAACCACAAGTTATCATGTGGAGTTGATATTTTCATTTGAGACTTCAGAGGTCACACGGTTTCTAAGCATTGGGATTCGGACCAGATTGTGTTAACACGGCCGTTCACTTCCTCTGCACTGACTATACCCTCCATGTGGTGCGACTTGACAGGTTTTTTTTCTTTAGTTTGGATGTTCTTGCTTAGTCCATTGGAAAATTCAGAAAACAAAAGGATTAACACAGAGAGCTCGTTGAAGAAAGTACTTTCCTTTTTCTTTCATTTCCCATCTTTTCTGTCTAAAAAATTTACAATCTTCCCATCTTCAAAGATTGAAATGAGATTTCCAGATGGCTGCAATATCATGTCTCGAAGTGCATGCTATCTGGAACGTGTGTGCACACACACACACACAAGGATGAATCAAATTATTCTGGCTTGCAAGAATGTGCGGGACTCTCTGGGGGAATCTCATTATTATATGTGGGGTGTCAAATAACTAGGTTAAGTGAATTTTCATCATTTAAAGCAGTGTTCACATAATCTAGTCTTGGAAATATTTCTGTAAAGCAGTGATCCTGTCTTGTTTTGGAGATTATATGTAATCAGATCCTTTTTTTTTTTTTTTTTTTAAGTTTATTTATTTTGAGAGGTTGGGGATGGGGAGCAGAGAGAGAGAATCCCAAGTAGGTTGCACGCTGTCAGCACAGCATGGCTCAAATTCAAGAATCACAAACTGAGTCGAAATCAAGAGCCAAGCACTCAACCTGCTGAGCCACCCAGGCGCCCCAACATTTAATCGGATCTTAATGATAGCTTTGCATGGGACTGTTTTAACATTGGAGAACTTAGTTTCATTGCAGCTACTTCCTAAAGGAATTATAAAGGAAATTTGTGTGATCATATACAATTTTAAAATGTCAGATACGTTAGTTTAAACTTTGTCTAAGTTACCTAATTTGACCAATTACAGTGACTTTTAAAATTGATTATATTCGTTCCGTGATGAATGCCTAGAATAAAGTTTAGGTGGAGCAGGTAAGTCCCTAGACTACTAGGTAACGGATTTCTTTATTGCATGTGGAGGATTAGCATTCAGACACCTTGTTGAGAGGTACAGAACCATCCCCTAGCCAATCCAGTGTCCTCAGCAGAGGGAACTTCTTTTTGCTTATAGATGTGCTTCTGAGAATTGGAATGCAAAATAATTTGCCAATTCCTCCCTTGTGAAATGCAAGTAAACGGATGCTAAATAATGATGATACAGCTTCCAATCTGAAACTCTCCCTGGCTGGTTTACACACATCCTGTGGAATCGGGCAAGAAGAAAGGGGCAGGCCCAGCATGTTAGATTTCATGAGTAGGTGTGTGGAGGAGGGCATAGTTTTCGAGTAAATAAACTTCAGACAGAACACACGAGATTTGGAGGAGAACACAGAGGGGTGTACATGCGCAGCCCGGAGCTCCCGAGGCAGTCAGTGAGGGAGCTCCGCTTGTTGCCACGCGATGTCATTGTTTTGAATCTTGCTAATACAGGGTAAAAAAAGATTTTGCAGTTAAGTATTGTTTGCTCCTTCAGACTTTTTCTCTTCTTGTTTTCGACTTCTACTGTCTTACATAATATTTCAATAATTTGATAATAATATTTGATCAGAGATTTTCTGTTGGTGTGCTATTAAAAATTGGCCTAATTACCATTATGCTTTTGCTTTCAGTACTTTGTAATCCTCCCTGAAATTAACAAGTGCTCTTCTTTGTCTTCAAAAACCAAATGTTTATATATCTTTCTCCTTCTCTAAATAGTAGAGATGAGTCTTTAAAATTTTTTTTAATGTTTACTTATTTTTGAGAGAGACAGAGACAGAATGCTAGTGGGTTAGGGGCAGAGAGAGAGGGAGACACAGAATCCGAAGCAGGCTCCAGGCTCCAAGCTGTCAGCACAGAGCCCGACGCGGGGCTCGAACTCACGAGCCACGAGATCATGACCTGAGCCGAAGTCAGCTGCTCAGCCGACTGAGCCACTCAGGCGCCCCAGTAGAGATGAGTCTTTAAAAGAATCTTCTCAGTATTACAGTTTCTCGTTTCTTGGGGCTTGTGTGTGCCACAGTGATGGAAACATTCAGCTCCAGGGCAGACAGGAAAGTGAGTTATAGTCACAGTGTCATTTTCTTATAACCAATCAGTTGACTACCTGCCTTAAGTTGCAGTTGGTTCACTCTCAACCTTGATAGAATTTTCATCCTAAATCACAGGCACATCTGTCTTGGAAAAGGTACGTACTTGCACACACCCCAATCTTTATCGAACACGTGGGAAGTGATTACCTGTCAGGTACTCAGTTTGAGTACTTTTTAGACATTGTATCCATTTAATCATCACTGCAGCCCTCAGGGGTAGAATTTGTCGTTATCCCCCTTTAAAGACCTAGAAACTGAGGCTCAAAGAAAGAACTAGCCCCAGATTTGACAGGGAAGCGACTGGCAGCAGCTGGATTCATACACTGGTGATCTGGTTCCTAACTAAGTCTCCAGTTAAACATTTTTTTAAACAGAGGACAACCTGTACTGTATTCAACTCAGAAAAAATGTTACACTTCTCATTCCATCATTCTGTTCTCATTCCATTTGGTTTGAGTGTTGGACACTTCTTTAGGCTTGTTCCTACAGGTGTAATTAATGCCTGTTAGGGAACCCTGCATGATACTAATGAAGCTACGTTTTTTTCTGTTGACAGGGAAGCCTTATCATCATCAAATCTAAAATTCCAACATATTGTTCCATATGCTGTTGAAGAAAGGAGCCCACAAAAATCTCCTTACTTCCTGGTGACAGGTGTGAAATGCTGGCCATGGGCACCTATGGTACCTTTTCAGATTCACTTCAGGTTGTTCTTTTGTAAATCACAGCCACCATTCATTCCTTACTAGTTTAAGATGAGTAAACCTAGTTCCACTGAATCATAATAAACGTTACTCATCAACAAGAAAGAATGGTCAGTGATGGGGAGTTTCTCAAAACAGTTCTACAGTAGTATAATTTTGTGGGGTCGGTTTTTCATATATTTACAGCTTAGTGCAAACAACCATTACTGGGTTTATAGTAGATGCATTTGTATTTATTTTCTAATGCTTTGTATTAATAATATCCCTTTCACACTCAGTTTGTAGCTGTGTGCTTATTTTTAGACATTTTGTCATTTTGTCATTTATCAAAGCTATGGAAATTTAAAGTATGGATAAACATTTGTGAGTTCACTTTTAATTATTGTCTGTACATATGCATCTTATGATGTAGAATCCTTGGAAAAAGTACATGCCAGAATATTCTAGTTTAAGAATTTTTTTTTACGTGTGTAAATTCTCTTGTAAGTATGTTGTTTATTACAACTTATTAAAACTGCCTAAACTTTAGGTGTTGGGTTTTATTTAAGTAAATGTCATCTTTGTATCCTGTAGTCTGAAAATACTGAAGATACTCATGTCATGAAGATCTTCAGAAATTAAAATCTGAAAACATTTAAATGCACTCCGTGATTTTGTCGTGCCTGCTTATGTTTAACCATTAATTAAAAAAGCTTTTAAAACATACTTTATAGGCATAGCCCTCAGTGATGGTGTTGTAGATGCTGACCCTGGATCGCTCTACAAGAGAAAGGAATGGAGTGAGAAATAGAAAACCAGAGTACGACTTCCCATCCTGAGGGCAAGAAGAGGCTGTGGGGACATGAGTAGCCACCACACTGAATCCAAAGCAGATTTTCTTTGGGAGGGATGAAGATTGGGGATCACTCCTTTCTGCAGGAGCAGCCGTCTTCGGTCTCAGCAGCATCGGAGACCACCCTCTCGCTCCTTCTCTCAAATACACGGAGTGACCTCTTTGCAGTTCTCACCTCAGATACAGTCTCACAGCTGGGATGTCAAGGAACACAAGTAATTTCTAAGGAGTCGTAAGTGCAGAAATGCCCATCGCCCCTCAGAGCTCTGGTCCTTCCCAGTTCCCCCGTCTGGGATACTCTTTCCTCAGGTCTCTGCTCCCGTCATGTCCGCGGACCACATGAGCTAAAACACCCGCCGGCCCACTGGTCTTGCTTTTACTCTTCTTCATCGCACCCAGCCCCACCCTGAGGCAAACGTGCACACGACCCGACAGTGCCAAAAGAAGGACATGATATTTTCAATCTGGTACTTAACACTTGTTGGAATAAATACCTGCAACATGGACAGTAGAGTTAGAAACATTTTATTCGCTTTTAGTTTTCCTTTTGAAATACAAAATGTGCACATTGAGTTTACACAAACACGCGATGGCGGATTTCAGTGTACATGTACTGTACTACTCTGAATGTCTACACTGGTGATAGCAGGGCGGCTCTCAACATCCTATCTCTACACCAGAATAGATACCTGATTTAGTGTTGCAAGGACAGTTGCTAATTTCCTCCCACTGTAGCCTCTCGGTCTTTGTGGTATTTCTGCAAAGTAGGGAAAGTGTGTGTATCCTAAGTGATGTTGTGGCCACTTGACAATTTTGGCTTAAGATCATTGAAGAGAATCTGAATTGCTGGAGTGTTACGATGAGCTAAATCATAAGACAGTCCAGATGAATTGCTTAGCATTTATTTTCATCTTTAACGAAGTTTTGGTATGGTAGTTATTGATAAAATGGAGTCACTGATGCTTTCAAAGTGAATTCTGCTTGCTCTTTGTTCCCTGTAGGCCTTGGGGTAGTCCAGGTTTCTTTGTCCCTGAATGGCATGTAATAGAAAGGTGTCTTGAAGGAGTCAAGGGAGAGGGGATGGAGTAGGCCCTCAATGCTGTTAGGGATTACTTGTTACTAAGCATTACCATGTAACTCGAGGACAGATACCCTGACCCTTTGCATGTGCCTATAAACATCCTTGCTTTGTTCCACACCTTCACGGACTTCCACTTAGTGACAAGATAGAAAATAGTCCACCTGTAGGATTGAACAAATCCAAAATTATATATATCATGTAGGCCTTGGCTATAATATGTATTATGAAAAATTAAGAAATGCTTATTAAATAAGCTTTATTAGGCATATGCTGACATCTGGTGATAAACTCATTTGTTTCATGTTGTAAAAAATGCCAGATAAATGAATATCTTTAACAGAAAGCAGCAAATTCATAGAAACTGGGACTGTGTGTTTGCTTGTTACTAATCATAGTAATCTTGTTTTGTTTACTTAGTGTATAAATGGAATTACAGCATACAAACATGAAAATTAATTTCTGGAAATTAAATGCAGATGCCAATAGTTTAGAAAACCATTTAAAATCCTGGGGCTGAATACATACAGTTGAGTAGCAAAAAACACTAATATTTTAAAATCACTGGTAATGGGAAAGCTGAATAATCCCATGGCTAAAGAATCAGTAAAACTCTCTGCCAGATTCTGTACTTTTGAAGAGTTACAGGGCATGAAATGACTTAGAACATCCCATGAACTCAGTGGCATTATGAAAAGGATGCAAAGTTGTAACTGGAAAACTCAAATCTTTTGGGGATTGCTTTATATTAAAACAAAGCTTGTTTGCATAATATGCCTCAGTGTAAAGCTGAGCAATCTATGCTAAAAGTGGTAGCTCCAAGTTTAAGTGTGGTACAGTAGTTCACATTTGTCTGTTTGAGGATGCATTTGACAAGTTAAATCACATTTTCAAAGAGCTGCATGGAGCGCATGATGTTTTCATCCTGTAAGGGAGAAACACAGTGGGATTAAATTAAGCATAGCTGCAAGGGCAAGTACACTGTTCTGCTTCCGAGTACCGCCCACCCCCCACTGCGTATGCCAAAAGCTCAAATACTAAGTGTTTGCACATATAGATATCATTCTATCCCTTTTCCATCTAGATAACTATGGAGAGCCCATTTTACAAATGTAAAGTCTGCAGGCTTTCAGTATTTCATTTGAATCTTACTTGGTGTCAATAGAGATTTTTTTTTTTTCAAATTAGAAAACCAGAATGGAAACTAGAGAGGCGTAGAGGGTAAGGAAAAAAAAAAATGGAGCAAATGCAAAATTTTGGCATTCCAGGTAGATCACAGGCCAAATCACAGCGATTTGTACATGTAGAAGGAAGCAGGGTTTGTGCGCGAGCCAAGAGCCAACTTCATTCAGGATTGGAGGTGGGGCTTGGGAGACGTGTTTGTAGTCCTTTCACCTCTCTTTCTGGGTCTCTTAGGGCTAAATCTGTATGGCCTTCAGGAGCCTTTAAAAATGAATGGTCTCATGGGGTGCTTGGGTGGTGCAGTTGTTTGAGCATCTGACTCTTGATTTGGGATCTGGTCATGGCCTCACGGTTCCCCTGGTGGGATCAAGGCCCACGTTCGGCTTTGCTGTGGTGGTGTAGAGCCTGATTCTCTCTCTCCCTCTCTCTCTCTGCTCCTCTTCCTGCTCGCATGCGCTCTCTCTCTCTCTCTCATAAACATTAAAAAAAAAAAAGTGAATGGTCTCTCGGTGCCAGAAAAGGGACTGTTGAGAGCAACCTTTGGACAGTGGCTGTGTGCAATTTAGCATATTCCCTAGAAACTGAAGAGCACAGATTTTGACATTATAGGGGCACTTGGAGATTGTATATGAATGGTACTTAGTGAGCTGTTTACAGTAATGATAAATAGCTGAACTTGTGCCGACTTCCCATGCTAGTAATTGCATCAGCCAAGTAAGTAACTGCATCAGCGGACTGATACCACCAAATTGATCCTTGCAAAGGCCGCCACATCGAAATGTGAGTTGAGAAACGAGCAGGCGCCAACAAAGGAAAAGTGTATCAACTTGAAAATAAAGAGAAAAGCTAAAGTATCAACAAACCTCATCCTCTCTGTATTTATTTAAAAATACTCATTCTTTTTTTTTTTTTTTTAATTTTTTTTTCAACGTTTTATTTATTTTTTGGGGGACAGAGAGAGACAGAGCATGAACAGGGGAGGGGCAGAGAGAGAGGGAGACACAGAATCGGAAACAGGCTCCAGGCTCTGAGCCATCAGCCCAGAGCCTGACGCGGGGCTCGAACTCCCGGACCGCGAGATCGTGACCTGGCTGAAGTCGGACGCTTAACCGACTGCGCCACCCAGGCGCCCCTAAAAATACTCATTCTTAATTGTGGCTCTACCCATGCATCAAGTCAAATAACTTTAGGTAAGCTAAAACTAATCTCCCATCAGACAATGGAGAACCACTTGGATTTCTCCTCTGAATTTTCTGTGCTTTGTTTTTTATGACTGAAGACCATTACTGGCACGGCCAAAGAGCCATTTCGGGTGCGCCTACGTTAAAGCAACGCGTTTCTCTCAGAAATCGGATGCAAACTCGGCCTGTGAAGTACACTTGGCTGTACTGGAATTATACATCTATGGAGATAATATGTTATATGCTAAGTTTAGGCAAAGAGCAATTCAAAGCTCACATATGTTTTACCCTCAGTAATGAATACTCTAAAGGATTTAAGGAATGAGAATGCAGTATACTTGTAATAGTTCTATCTTTAGGGCTTTCTGTGTGGCTCTCCTAAGGGTAGGCACTCTATAAATGTTAATTAATGAATTATAATTAAATTGACAATTGTTTTTAGAGTGGTAGCTTCTCTTAGCTGCGTACGAATGGTAAGCTTAGGTCAAGTTTATACTGTGCTCAGTTCATGGTGGCTAGCTGACTTTACTTAGTCTGGCTGTTATGAAAGCAAAAGGGATAGTTTCTTTACTACTATGAACTTACTTTTTGGCAACTTTCAATGAACTCATCTATGGTAACGACTCCATCTTTGTT